GGTATCAGAAATTCTGATACTTTTGAAATCTCAAATATACTTAAAACTGTAGAGACAGGTAGTCCAAAGTATCAGAAATTCTGACACTTAAATCCTCTGTATGTCAAATATACTTAAAACTGCAGAGACTGATAGCCCAAAGTATCACAAGTTCTGATGCTTTTCAAATCCCCTATTATTATGTGAAATATACTTAAAACTGCAGAGGCTGATAGTCCAAAGTATCAGAAATTAAATTATGACACTTTTGAAATCCTTTCTATCTCAAATATACTTAAAACGGTAGAGACTGGTAGGCCAAAGTATCAGTGAAAACAAATTGTTTCGAGACCTTTGCACATATAATGACAACGTGAATGAGTCTCAGAAACCTGGTGTGTACCGCATTCCTTATGAATGTGGTCCAGTTTATGTTGGTGAACCTGGTCGAAATCTCTCAATACCGGTCTTAATTAAGAAACATAGGATGAATTGCGAGAGAGCCGAGCAAGATAAATCGGCTTTCAGTGGCTAAACATACTTGGACTTACAACTATCGTATAAAATGGGACAAAGCAACCATTTTGGCGATTGACATAGTCATAAGTTCTCTCGCAAAATGTGAGAATCAATTGAAATCGAGAAGCACAATACAATAGATAAGAGGCAGGAGGGGAACTCCAGGGAAACTCCACTTTCTAAAACAAGTACTTTTAAAGCCCCATATTTTAATCGTATTGTTAGGATGTAGAACTCTATATGTAAAGTTGCATCGAGTAGTAGTTTTAGTAATCTCGCCTCATTTAGAAGGTTTCTAATCAAACTTTTAACGTACTTTTACGTACTGTTTTTGATGCGAACTTGATTTGTACTGTGCTTGTTGTGACTTGAGTTGAGGTACTTTTACTTTATTCCATTGGTAGGGCCCAGTATTTTGTAAAATGAATCATTAAATCATTATCCAGCTTGCGCGTTTTATAGTAGCCAGTGTGGCCGACTCTTCTATAGGGCTGAGAATTGAAGAAGAGCCTGCCTGAAAGCCCCAGTAAAATTGGTCACTCTCGGCAGCCAGCTACCGAGAATTGTGATTGGCTGAATTTACGTTGAAAACATGTTGATTGACATGTTAGCTAATTTATCCAAAAATTTAAAAATAAATGCGGTAAAAACAGACGGCATCGCACACGATTAATACATTGTACAAGTGTAAACCTGCATGTCGGCTAAAATATAAAAATTCAAAAGACAAAGTGTAAAATGTATGACATATACAGGTATCTAAACAGAATAAGGCATGCCACTATACTGAATAGCTATGCCGTATGATTTTACCGTATGGTCACTATAGAGTATAGAACCTTGGCTGTCCTTGCCTTATTAGATTTTGCACGAAGGCAAATTAATTATTATTATTATTATTGTCTTTATTAGGGTCCACTACAGTATATGTACAAAGTCTAATTATAAAGTCTAATTATTCGGAGACCCTAAATGGGCGAGGCGCAAACGGGACTCGAAGAACCATGCAAGGCACCTGCCCAAACTTAGTAAAAATTTACTGTTCTAATTAAAATCTATACTGTTCTAGTAAACCTCGGAGGTGCATACGCCTCATAAAAATCGAGGGTTAGTAAATCCCCCAGTTGCTTCCCACAATGCATTGTATTCCTATTTAATGAACGAACTGCGGGAAACAACTGGTACAAATCGTAAAATGCACCCACTCAAGGTTTACAAACTATATTATGTTGTGTTATGTTTATATCATATATTATATAATGGTATTCTTAAGTTAAACGTTTATTATTACATAATGTTAATAAACAGTTAGGACCTGTGGCAAGGACAGTCCCGAGTCAAAGACCACGTGCAAGACACGTCTGCGTCGTAAATAGAGTTAACTAAGTTTGAATATTTTTGCTTGAGATAACATTTAAAAGAACTAGGTCTAGAGAAACTGTCAAGAGATACTTCTTGAGATACAGTGTTCCAGATATTGACAATACGGTTGTAGTAGGAGGATTGAAAAGTGGTAGTTTTACACAGTGGGTTTGGAATGATATACTCAGAGGAAAGACTCAATCGAGTACGACCATGGCTGACAAACGACAAATAGTTACTCAAGTTCACGTTTATAAAACCAAATAAAGCTTTATAAAAGAATGTTAAGTCCTTCATTTCTCTATCGTAACTTAATGGTAGAAGGTTTAACGACGACAGCCGTTCTTTGTAAGGCATCTCTCTGTTCATTAGTATCCACTTGGTTGTCCTCCGTTGGACTTTCTCTACTTGTCTTGATAGCTGAACGTTGTTAACCGGTGACCACACCTCCGAAGCATACGACAACTGGGACTTCACAAGTGACAGATACAAAGTTCGCCTAGTGTTCATGTCTGTAATACTAGTACAGGTTCTTTTAAGTATACCTAACATTTTGTTGGCCTTCGCAACAATGGTGTTTATGTGTAGTTTAAATGAGAGTTTTGTAGTAGTCGTAATACCAAGGTCCTTTAAAATATTGATTATACAAATATTGATCATATAAATTATGATTATACAAAACAATACATTTCTCAATGTTTTTGTACATGCAATGCATATCATAAAAAATACGAAGCTCTCTTTGGAGCTTTTAAAATACATTTGCCTGACAACGTGTATGACAGGAGAAGGGGTCTATTTGTCTTTTCCCCTAAGTCATTTATTACATTGCCATATTATCGCTTTCAATAAACTTTTTAATAGATGGATAGCGATTCAACTGTCTGGAAAATACAAGCAATACGTCGACATTTTGAGCGAAGGCCTTCGACTTTGTCTGGAAATTACAAATTAGTAGACGAAACTTATAATAATGCAGTAAATATATCTAGCGCTGGCTAGTAATAATATGGATTATTATACATTTAATATGTATTCTCGTTTCTAATTGGTCAGAAAGCAACGGCTAATATTCAGTATTTGGCATTTATTACGTATTTTCCGCCGATGACGTCATCAGCGTCCAATAATTGTTTTTTTTTGGATCGAACTTGCATCCAAAAAAACAATTATTGGACTCTCTCGTGCCCAAACCCTTGCGCGGCCAAAAGCTTGAACCTATAAGCGCGCGAAAAAAACAAACAAACAATGGCCTACAGCAGATTTGCTTCGTTGAATGAATGGCAGATAAGGATAGTGAAAGCACGAAAAAAGCCACAAAGGGGTAAATAGAAGTGGAAATAGAATATTTAACTGACCTTTGACTTTGTGCAATGCATGTGTTTGATATTCAAATTGTACTTTTCCTACCTCATGAACAGGAATCGCTTTATACGTTTCTCATGTCTTTAAATGTATAATAAAACAATTATTGGATTCGGTTTTCGCATGATATCAAGAATTATTCAGACCTCGGTCTATGTTATCCGCCTCAGCTTCGCTTCGGCAGATAACATTGACCTCGGTCTGAATAATTCTTGATATCATGCTCAGCCTCATCCAATAATTGCTTAATATTAACTAAGTGGGCGGTGATCAATTTTACTAGGGCTTTCGGGCAGGCTCTTCTTCAATTCTCAGCTCTGTAGAAGAGCCGGCCACGCTGACTAGTTTTATAGCGTTTCACAAGACGTGCAATTAGGTTTTTAATTTTTTTAATCTCCGTATTTAGGTTCTACCTACTGTATATGGAGAGTGTAAAAGCACTTTCTAGAGTCAGTTGTAAGCTATGAATTTTATTAAGCGTAATATGTAAATTATTTTGTAAATATGCATGGGGGTAGCCTTGCATTGGTTCTTATGACCCGTTAGATACCTTCCCGTTTGGAAACTAGCTGTTACTGTTCCTAATAAAGCTGTTAAAACAAAAAACACTATATTAAAATATAGTACTTGGCGTGCTCTCTTTAATGTGCAATATTAATTTCTCTTGTCTTGGATGCGCGCGCGTTAATTAGAATCACTGTTTAATTAAACTTCAAATGACGCGACCCAGCAGATCACGACATTTTATATATAAAATAGGCGTATGAATTGAACAAGTCACATATTATTCATCAGTAATAAATTTACGTGGTGTTTCCACAAACGGAAGTATATATGATGCTTGTGATGTTACTTTGAGTGTGTATCCACATCGGCTAAGCTTGAAAAATATGTCTGTCCACGGTGGGAATCGAACCTACGACCTTTGGAATACTAGGTCAATTCTCTGCCAACTGAGCTACGCGTTCAGGTCGGTTCAAGTAATACTATGTGATATTTCGGAACAGAATCTAGTTCTTTCGATATCAATGTGGAACGTTCCCACCGTGGACAGACATATTTTTCAAGCTTACCCGGTGTGGATATACACTCAGATAAGTCAGATTAACACCACAAGCATCATATTCACCTGAGTACATTACACCAAGACAGAAAAAATCAGTATTATATATATTTAAACTATCGTTTTATTTGGCCCCCCTGAGATCTAAGTAGAAATTCTGTAGCTAACGTCACACATATAAGTGCTATACCTATAAGTGCAAAGATATACATATCTGATTATTTGGCAAAATTAGTGAATACGTTATTATTATTTTGTAAAAAGTGAGATACTGGAAATAAACAGTGAGATATTTTCCATGTCCTCACCAGGGTTTATTTTAAGAAAAATTTAGAACTGCACATATTAAGGATGTTACGAAGCATCACGTGTTTGACTGGGGGGTCAAAGGGTGTTTGACTGAGGGGTCAAAGGTTTATAGTTAACGTTTTTATCTATATTTAACATTGTAAATTTATAGTTAACGTTAAATAATTTATTAACGTTAAACGGACGTACGAAATATGGCTCCATAAAATAAGTACATTTTCGGTGTAGTAAATGACAATTTCGCGATGTCAAGGAAACAGAAGAGAACGAAATGGACAGATTATCTATATTTAACATTGTAAATTTATAGTTAACGTTGATAATTTATTAACGTTAAACGGACGTACGAAATATGGCTCCATAAAATAAGTACATTTTCGGTGTAGTAAATGACAATTTCGCGATGTCAAGGAAACAGAAGAGAACGAAATGGACAGAAGAAATGAATAGGGATGTTTTAGAATGCAAAGAAAGAGCTCAAGAATTAAAATCATCAGAAAATCCATCGTTAAATGTTAACAAGTCAACGGGCAGGAAGATAGGCTATATACAGCTCATGAAGCAACTTTGGGAAGAACGAGGTTATGCAAGCTTGGGCCTAACTGGACAAAACTTAAGAGATCGAGCTTCGAAGCTTCAAAAGATTCAGGTTCTTCCAACATTTGGTTGTGATAATGAATCGTATAAAACTCAGGAAGGCGAAATTGCTGAAGTAAGCGGCGGAATCAACGAACTGAGACCGGAGTCAAATTTGCATAACATTACTATTGAGCAAGTCCCAGAGGAATTAAGAAATGATGAAGAGAGTTCATCACGCAATTTGCTGCCAAATTTGCCCGAGATTAACGTGTTGCCATCCCAAATAAAAGAGAAAATGCGGGGGAAAATAACGCACCGAGAATTGTGCTGTGAAGTGGGCGAGATATACGATGAAATCGTTCACTTCCGAAGAAACATTTTTAAAATCCCGTCCGGTAGAGCAGGCAAAGATTACATAACTGAATTAACTTACTGGCTCAAACAATTTAACTCCAATGCTGAGTTGAACTCAATTGCATTAAAAGTATTTATGATACTTCCTTCGCTGATTTTGCAGAAGCCGTCTGCAAAGTCTAAGAGTAAAGAGCATAGTTCAGCTATCGATCGCAGATTACTCCTATGGAGACAAGGCGACGTATCACTACTAATGAAAGAAGTAAGATTTATTCAAAAGAAATTTAAATCCTCGAGGAAGGCTAGATCTATGGAAGATGTGTCTAAAACCTTTGCAAAATTGGTCATGCAAGGAAAAATCACGGCTGCTATAAAGATGTTAGATAAAGAGAGTTTATCCAGTTTATGTAATCTATCGCCAGAAGTCATTAAAGAGCTTAAACAGAAACACCCAACAGCTGCAGAGGTGCAAGAGGGGAGCCTTTTGTATGGGCCGATGGATTATGTTCCACCAAATACTTTCGATTTGATTGATGAGCAGACCATCTACAACGCAGCGTTAAAAACAAAAGGTTCGGCAGGGCCCTCGGGAATGGATGCCGAACTATATCGAAGAATCGTGTGTTCAAAAAGTTTCAAGACCGAGGGAAAACTCCTAAGAGAGGAAATAGCCATAATGACGAGAAATCTGCTCAAGTCTTCATACCATCCCTCCCTATTAGAGGCCTTTACATCATGTAGATTGATTCCCCTTGACAAGAATCCTGGAATTAGGCCAATAGGTGTAGGCGAAGTACTGAGGCGAATTATCGGCAAAACTGTGTCAGCTTTTTTCAAAGAAGAGTTGAAACAAGCAGCGGGCCCGCTACAAGTTTGTGCTGGGCACAACGCGGGCGCTGAAGCCGCGATACACGCAATGAGCGAGATCTTTGCTGAAGCTGAAACAGATGGAATACTTCTAATCGACGCAAGTAATGCTTTCAACCAAATGAATCGCTCCGTGGCAATGCATAATATCCAGATTACTTGTAATGAAATCTCGCAGTATCTTATCAACACCTATAGAAGTCCTTCTAGACTTTTTATTTGTGGTGGAGGGGAGATACTGTCTCAAGAAGGCACCACTCAAGGTGACCCTTTGGCCATGCCTTGGTATTCAATCAATACATCAACCATCATACAATCACTGAGACTCGCTAGCCCAGACGTCAAACAAGTTTGGTTGGCTGATGACTCAGCAGGGGGAGGAACGATTGCAGCGCTCTATAGTTGGTATCGTTATCTGTGTGAAGAAGGCTTGAAGTATGGATACCATGTAAACGGTTCTAAGAGCTGGCTGATTGTTAAATCACAACTTCTGGCGTCAGAAGCAGAACGGGTGTTTGGAAGCGAGGTGAAAATAACAACTGAAGGAAGGCGACATCTGGGCGCAGTTATTGGTTCTACAAATTACAAAGAAGAGTACTGCAACGAAAAGGTCAACAGTTGGAGAGAAGAAATCGAAGCACTAAGTGATATTGCAAAAAGTCAACCTCATTCAGCCTATGTTGCTTTCACAAAGGGCTTCAAATCGAAGTTTACATATTTTATGCGAACGATAAGCTCCTTTGAAGATTATATTAACCCTATCGAGGAAGCCATAAGTGAGTTGTTTCTCCCAGCCTTGTTCGGCCAAGAAGAGCCTCTGCCTGAAGAATTGCACGAAGTTATCACACTGTCCCCTGCACAAGGAGGTTTAGGGATACCTGCATTAAGTGAAGAAGCGCCACAACAGTACGCAGCATCGACGTCAATAACACGTCCACATGTGGAGGCAATATTATCGCAATGCACTTCCATGCCAGAGATCACTAATGAGATAAAAAACGAACAGCAGTCAATCAAGAGGGCAAATGCCAATGCAAAAAGAGAACGTATCGACGAGTCTCTCCCAGCCGATCTCCTACTTCTTGTTAAACAAGCGCGGGATAAAGGAGCAAGCTCATGGTTAAATGCTATACCGGTTGAAGAACAAGGTTTGACCCTCAACAAAGAAGAATTTAAGGATTCGATAAGAATGCGGTATGGCATGCCATTGCCCGACTTGCCAAGTCATTGCGTTTGTGGGTCTGCATTTTCCGTCAACCACGCATTATCGTGTAAAAGAGGAGGTTTTGTGGCCCGAAGGCATGACGGTGTTCGTGATTTACTGACCACGCTGCTCAGCAGAGTATGCAACAACGTGGAAGCCGAACCGAAAATCATGCCATTGGACAATGAACAATTCCGTTTACAGTCCACCAACAGAAGCCCGGATGCGCGATTGGATATCAAAGCTGGCGAGTTTTGGGCAAGAGGAGTTACATCATTTTTTGACGTCCGTGTATCGCATGTAAACTCCCAATGTCATCAAAACAAAGCCACATCTGATATCTTTAAGGAACAAGAAGCCGAGAAGAAAAGAAAGTACCAACAGAGAATCTTAGACGTGGAAATGGGAACATTTACGCCTTTAGTCTTTGGAACGAATGGAGGAGTTGGAGACGAATGCCAGAAATTCTTAAAGCATCTTGCCGAGAAATTGTCGAGGAAAAACGGAGAAGATTACGCAACAGTTATTACCTGGATCAGAACAAGATTGTCTTTCGAAATATTGAAATCAGTGCATTTGTGCACGAGAGGATCTAGATCGCCATTTCGTGCGAAAGATGAACATATAGACGAGTTCAAATTAAACTCTGTTACAGCAGAGGTTTTTTAAGCAATTGCGCAATTTAAAGGCGTTAACGCTGGACTTGTACATTTTATGAATTACGTTCCAAATTATGAATTATCAAGAACTATTTTTAGATCTTTTAACTGCAATGAGTTTTAAATGTAAAATGTTCCGAAATTAACTTTTTCTTTTGTATTATTAGATGTTATACTGTAAAATTCTACAATATTGTTAAAAATTATTAAAATTGTTCACGTTGTAAATTATGATAGACTCTTAATTTGTACATAGGTTGTATATAGGTGGCAGAATAAAGGTGTAGTCAGGTGGGGCCAGACAAACTCGATTCTGGGTGAAGGAGCTACAGGTAGTGGGTGTCCCTCCAAATTTTGAATTTAGAGGCTCATGACGTAAGTTCTGGCAAAGATTTGTTTCACCCAACCACCCACAACAACTGTTTCAAAACATGTAGAGGGTCCTGAAGGGGGGGGGGGCTCCCAATTCCATTTCCCACCTGAAATTTTGGCAAAATCCCAGTCCCAGTTGCATTTTTATTAGAAATCCCAGTCCGAGTTATTGAAATCCCAGCCAATAAAAACCCCTTTATTTATCGGTACAATAAACAGTTTTAAGACTTTTAAGCCACCGTGTGTGCAAGTGGCGAACACTTCATGAAATATTGGGGGAGCTTCGCGCCAAAGGCACGGAAAACTTTAAATTTGAATCCCGAAAATGGCATTTGCAGCATTCTGAGACACGCATAATCAGAAAACCCAGAATTTCAGGCGCCAGAGTATGCCTTGTTCTCAGGTAGTGCTGCGAATAATATAGTTAACAACAAAAATCATGACCAAAGACACGAAAAACGGATCAAAATTGTATTTTAAAATACTTAAAACGTAGAAAAATTGGGAATTGACTCGCATTACCTCATTCCCATTCCCATTTTTGAGGACTTCATTTCCCATTCCCAGTGGCCAAATCCCAGTCCCAGCAACCCAAATCCCATTTTCCCAGTCTAAAAATAGATCAATCCCAGTTCCCATTTTACCCCTTCAGGGCCCTCCATGTAGGCTAACTGGGAATCATGAATACTCAATATATAATAACCTTAGGCAGCAAAGAATATTAGGTTCTTCCACTCTAATCTCTTTTGGATAGCTTCGCTCACACCAATTTTACCTTCTGTTCCATTACCCCAAGCACGTATGTGATTTGTGAGAAAAATATGAGGGTCTGGTGGTCCTCTCCCAGAAAATATTTAAACTTTTGTTGCTCAATAAAAACATTTCTGGCATCTGGAGCATCCACAAGGAAAACGAGTGAATGAGAAGACTGTTTTGAGGTTATACAGTATTTTTGTTAATTTGGTGACTGCACATTTGAGTTTTAAGAACTGCACAAATGGGTTTAGAACTGCACATTTTGTGTAGAACTGCACGTTAAAACAAACCCTGGACTATTCACTAGTGAAGATATTTATCACGTGACTTTTAGAACATTGCGCTCGTTCGCAAAATGTTGTTTTTACCACTCGAAGACAAAAGTCATATCTTCGCGCCGCCGTGTGATCCTCTATTTATGTAACTACATGAAGTATTGGCAACGTTATATTCAAAATGGAGGCCTAGCAAAACGATTTTGGTGTCAAAACAGCGTCGGACTTTGATAACGAAGCCAAACAACTGGCATTCGTATACCCAGGTCAACAAATGGCCTTTATATGGATTTTGTTCATTTAAAAAGAAAGCTAACTATACGTGATTTGGGCGGACAAAGGGAAAAATCATGGACTGTAGGACAGTACTGTAGGTGTGTATGTTAAAATGTTCTGTACTGTAGTAATGCGCCTATCAATTTAATACTACAGTACCTGTCGCAAGTAAGGGTACGTCCACTCGCGTGTAGCGAGTACTCGCGAGTACGCGCGAGTCTAAGCGAGTGCTCGTTCTGACTCGCTACTCGCGAGTACTCGCATTTCATCTCACTCTCAAGCACTCGGAACTTGCGAGTGCTTGCGAGTCAAAAGGCTCAGATAATTTGTACAAATATGAAGCAAATAATTCAGCTAAATGATAAAACGCCATAGTTATATGAAACCTAGTATGATAGATATTAGCGTGTTTATAAACGACTGCCACATGGTGGGACATATTTTCTTCGAACAAAGTTCGTAGATGGACGGACAGTCTTAGAAGCGTTAACTATAACTGAGTCTATATCAATCAAAACAACGCTTTAAAAGCCAAACCGCATTAAAAACGGTAAAAATTACACCAAAATGCGAATGATTGGACGAACAAATGCCATATTTAAATATGGGACTATATATTCAAATATGGTCCGGTTGTAAGATTTGGATCGAGTTCGCTGACGCTGTTTAACAATATAAATATCGAGTACTACTCGTCGACGTTGTCTTGTAGTTCCAGTAATATTCGAGAATCAAATTAGGAGTAAAAACGTAATACTGTAAAGTGCAAAGTGACAAAATATAACTTACATTGTGCTGCTAGCATCTTTCTTGAATCTGGAACCATTACACACTCACAGTTTCTCGTTATAGTCAAGCGACTTAATGCGCTGAATCCAATTGAAGATAATATCGATTGAACCCCACGGAACAAAGAAACACGAACATACTGTGTATTTATCGCAAAAAATTCAATTATACTAGTCTCATATAGTCGATAATATCCTGCCTATACTAATGCAAGACTAGTATAGATTGTTTTGGCAGGACTCATGCATGCATGGTCATTATGATATTAAAGAAATCAGCCATGAAATATTTGCGGAGGCGTAGTGTGCTTTGTGTGTGTTAGATCTGTGAATTGAAATATTTTATAGTTTATACTGGTCTGAATGTTTTTGGCACGTGTCAGAAAAACTTCAGCTGATCATGTTTGGGTTTTTTTCGTTAACTTGCGTTTCGTGCGGGTTTGAGCTGAGGCCAAATTTACATCATTCAATTGCTACGTTCTTCAATGGCCCATGCCGCGCGGTTTCTAAAAACCGAAACCTTCGCAGTTTCGTTGCGAATGTTGTAAAATGCGGATAATATAACCCTGCGAAGTTTGCCGTTTTCCAGTCATTTTGTATTACACTTCAATCAAAAACGTTTTTGAAAATAATTTTGAAACAAATGATAGCGATATTACGATTATTAAACGACGTTTCGATGCTACAGCGTGCATCATTTTCAAGTTATAGTATTACATATATTGCGTTGATTTTAATTAAACCGTTCGTGTCACGTTAGCAATTGCAAATTATTGCGTAAGCATGCAAAATTTAAATTTATATGACGTAATAAATTACATTTAAAATTACATTTGTTGCACGGTGTAGCATCGAAATGTCGTTTAATAAATGTAATATCGCTATCATTTGTTTCAAAATTATTTTGTATTACGCGCGGGAAATTGATACCTTTTTTCAGAAAGCGGTAATCAATTTCCCGTGCGTAATACAAAATGACTGAAAAACGGCAAACTTCTCAGGGCTATATTATCCGCATTTTACATTAACGGAATATTACCAATTTTGTGATGCTCTTTTGTCTAGACATGTCTAGATTAAAATTTTGTTCATCAGGGAATAGGTCCATTGAAAAGCCGTTTCCTTCTTTCAAATTTTTCAAAATATCACACACGCGAAATCCTTCGCGGTGTAGACGAATGACATTAAGTTTTAGCTCGACTGTTAATCGAGGCATTTCTAATTGTTTGTAGTGTCACACCATTTACTGTTGTGAATTGTGTCTCATGGGGGAAACGCAGCATTTACTTATAATTATAGTATTATTGACTAGTGTAATTTGACACCGGTGACAGTATTCGCTGGTATTCGGTAACATTGTGAAAACTGGGCATGCATGCATGCACAAAATTCCTGAACATTAACTTTAATATTTTATCACATACAATAGCTATATATATCATTTTCGAGAACTTACTCAAAACTAATATCTGTGAAAAACATACTTTTTATGTGTTTGAAGAAAAAATGCTCACATAACCATGCATGCAGTTGTAGTTAATTAGGATTCTTGACCAAAGTAAAAGAAATCAAATTTTGGCACATTCTTCAATACTATATAGTTGAAAAATTTGACAAGATAATGCAGTTGTTTGAAAAATTTATATATTTGTATTTGTAGTTTTATACTTATAAGCTGGCAAAACCAAAACCAACAACACATATTTTCATGCGCATCATGATGAAAAATTTCTGATATTACTCACGGCTACAAATTAATTGACACAAATAGAGTTTTGCCTTTTGCAAAAATTCGGCCTGACACAGTTTGCAAGCTAGCAACATTCCTATATTCATTGAACACAGATTATAGATGGGGAAAACTGAAATTTTTCTGTCCAAAAACATTCAGACCACTAGAGTCTAGAGACTCTAAAATATTTCAATTCACAGATCTAACACACACAAAGCACACTACGCCTCCGCAAATATTTCATGGCTGATTTCTTTAATATCATAACGACCATGCACGAGTCCTGCCAAACTGACAATCTATACTTGCATTAGTATAGGCAGGATATTGTCGACTATATGAGACTAGTATAATACTGGTACCCTGCCCTACCCTTACAGCAGTTAAAAAGGTCACATTTCCCACTCTGGGGATAGAGCAAGATGACAAATGCCCGGGGGATATTAAAAGTACAAATTGATTGGTGCAAAATATACTAACATTTGGTGCATAATATACTATTTACAAGATTTATTTACAAGCTTTCGCAGTTCATATGATCATTTATAAATTTTCTGCAAGAAACAATAACAATTTTTTGTCTTCAGCTGTACTCGGTTTGCTGTTACTGTACAGTATATCTGTCCCAATTTGCTAAAACGTCTGTCAGTTGAGTTTAAATATTAATTTACATGTTAAAATTGCCCACATGCTTGATATTTCAATTTGCAATTGCCGTCATACACATGTTTTCTAAACTTCACCGCACAATAATTGCAAGAAAAAGGAGATTAAGTTGTCTAGTTAAAAGTTATTTTGAATGCAAATTTTG